ATTTGAGCTGTTGTGATCATCAACATGATTCAGTTTGTGAACGCTGTACCCTGTTTCCAGCTGCTGTAAGCCAGATAGAGTCTGTTCTCGAGAAAGTTSATATACCACAAGAAAGCAAAGAAGAAATGAAATTTATCATGGYRCAATCAAAGAAAAATGTTAACGCTTGGAAAGCACATTTGTTACGATCAGTCAACCAAGATGAAGGACGCCTAGACATCCAAAATAGTTTAGATGACGAGTCTGTGCTGGTAGTCCTGGATTGGGCTATGAAGTTTGTTCCCCGCAAGTACCGCGAGAGYCAGACAGACTGGTTTGGAAAGCGCGGGCTTTCCTGGCACGTCTCTGTAGCGATAAGAAAGCTTAAGGAAAAGCCAATACAGATGCTCACACTTCTGCACATTTTTCAGAAAAGTAATCAGGACAGCCACTATGTATTGGCGGTTATCGATGATGTCATCTACCAGCTAAAACGCGTAATGCCCACTCTCAGATGTATTAACTTCAGACAAGATAACGCAGGCTGTTATCACAGCTCAACAACAGTACTTGGAGTTCGACAGCTTTCCAAGAAACACAATGTCGACATACGCATGGATTTTTCTGACCCTCAAGGGGGTAAAGGCCCATGCGATCGTAAAGCGGCTACAATGAAAAAGCATATGAGGTCATATCTCAACTGTGGACATGATATTTCAAACGCAGAGCAAATGAAAGATGCGATTACCGCAAACGATGGTGTACGTGGTGTCAGTGTTGTTCTCTGTGGTACCATACAAATCCCTAAAGCAGACCCTTTTCCCAAATGGCCAGGTGTAAGCCTCATCAACGACATCGTGTTTAAGGAGAAAGAAATGAAAGTATGGAGAGCATRCGGGRTTGGAGAGGGGAAGTCTGTTCCTTACAGCCAGTTTGATTCAAAGTCTTCACCAAAATTACCAGATTTAACTAAAATAGAAGATGTCGTCCAAGCACCTACATTCTGCGACGTTAATCCAAGAAAAAATGTCAGACAAAAACAACAAAAGGATAGTCCAGCTGACTCTACAAACAACGCAGTTGACAGTGATACAGATGAAGATACTCTATTTACCTGTACTGAGGAAGGATGTGTGAAAACCTTCCAGCGCTTATCGGCACTACAAACTCACCTAGACRWTGGAAAACACAAATACGTTCTCGAACGGGAGACTTTTCTTGATAAAGCAATGCTAAGATATGCAGAAAATTTGGAAAGTGGAGATTCTGAKGCAGGAGAGCACACAAGGACCGACGATAGTGGATCAGCACCATCTGTTCAAATGCCACCTTCTACCATGGGATGGGCCTTGAAGTATAGCTCTGTAACAAGACGCCGCCTAACAGAAAGCCAAAAAAAATATCTTACAGATATATTTGTTCTTGGTGAGGACACAGGGAGAAAAGCAGACCCCGATGATGTTTCTAAGTCGATGAGGAAGGCACGCGATGATCACGGCTCATTTCTTTTCGACTCTAGTGATTATTTGACCTCTAAGCAGATCGCAAGCTTCTTTTCACG